GAAGCTGCCCGATGTGTAATTAGGCAAACCCCTACTATCTGAACATAAGGGAGCTGAAGTAAAAGATGAACGAGGTCATCGATTTTGGAACCCACTACTTCGGGTTTGCTATGGCTAAGGTCATTAGTACCCACTTCCAAAATTACAATGGCAGGCCGAAATGAACAAACTTTATCTAAATCAAACGCGATCAACTTGTCTGTGCGTCCCCCAATTCCATGCAATTTGACGGAGGCCCTTTTTATATTAAAACTAATGGCCGCACGGACGTCGAAATTAGAGCGCAAATCGCGATGGAGACGTACGTTTGACAAACGAGTGTCCAAAAACAAGAACTTTTGGGCGTGACAATTCCATAATACCCAAATTAAAAGTATCAAAATATAAGAATAATATAAGAGCAATAATAATTAAAAATCTCACCTGTATAAAGGTAAAAGAAAGAAGTCCAAAACGTCAAAGAAAATTCGTATGTCTTCACTCGATCACGAGAAAGGTTGAATTGAGAAGTGAATAACTTTGCTTTGCTTTTAGTAGCTAAAATTTGGCCTTGACTTAATGTTTCTTACGTAGGTAAAAGCACCGGAATTTCCTTCTCCGCCAAGTCCCACCTTAATCTGCCACAATCCAATCTAACTATTTCCTACTTTTATCTTATCACTATAATTCAGGCTTGACATAAAAAACCATATTTCCGTAGGAAATATTTTTATTTAATTTACCGATGTACAAGATGCAGAACGTGGGATATCGTAGCTTTCTATTTTTGATGATTGTGTTACACGGGTTCTTCTTTCGATATATTTTATATTTAAACGTTGACTTAGTTCACTTTAATAGTGCTTTTCGTTTTAAAACTAGCTCAAAACCATTCTATATTTTAACATACAAAAGCCATGCCGTTTCTCTACATGCGCCCGCGATCAACTTGACCGTCAATGCTCTACTTCGTGTAAACCTAAGTTATTCATCTAACACTCTCCCCCTCCTGAAATAAATGGCATCCTTGACATTTTGATTCACCTAACACGGAGAGTCTGTTTAAATCAATTCTTTACTATACTACTTATAACAGTTCTGACGTTTGTTCTGTTCCTTCAAAACAATGGTTGGGTTGATCAAGCCCTCCCAACGTCAAATCTTTTGTTTTCTTCTTTTCTTGTCTTTTCTTGTCCTGTAACTGATTTCAAAGTATCTTCGGTACTTCTACGAGGATTATAAAATCCTTACAAGTGAATCTAAACCAAATGTTGTTTTCATTTTAACAAAATAAACTTAATTAACTCATTGTCACTATTCTATCGAAGTGGGAATGTGGGATAGTTGCCATCCTCAGGTTATGGGAGTGGGAAAGGTGGTGGGATCTGAAAGGTTGTAGGGGGAAAGGTGGTGGTATTGGAAAGGTGGTGGGAGCTGAAAGGTGGTGGTATTTGGAAAGGTGGTGGTATTTGGAAAGGTGGTGGTATTTGGAAAGGTGGTGGTATTTGGAAAGGTGCGGGCATTTGGAAGGGTTGTGGGACTTCGCAGGGTTGCAGCAGAGTTTGGCGGTAAGGTTGTCTCTCTGGTGGAAGGTAAGGGGATTGGGGCGTTCGATGGTTGAATGGCAGAATCACTGCTCCACAATAACAACAGGCCGAATGTCCTGGAGCGTAGTAGGTGAGTCGTTGTGGAGCTTGTCGATTTCTTGGTGGAGGGCTATTAGTAGGAGGAAGGGCTTCCTGCCCCCCATCAGATACAGGTACATGTTCATCCTGCTGTTCCGAAATTTCTTCAGTTGTTTCTCCTTGTATCTCGAAAGGTTCCTCAGGTTCGCCTTCAGTGGGTAGGATATTACCACTCCGATTATCCGGCTGTAACTCGTCTGATACGTTGTCTTCGACCTGCACTGGTAGCTCCAGCGATTGTTCTCCATCGGATACATCGTGCTTCGAGTCGGCAGTTAATGGCATGCGATGTGAAACTGAAGGGTACTCTTCCTCGTCATCTGATGAACTGTCATCAATAGATGTGTTATGGGTAGATAAACGATCCTGGTCGCGACGTTGTCTAGGCGCTACCACGGCCAATTCGGTAGACAAGTAGTCACAGGGGAGTAGCATATTGCGATGTAACGTACGAGGTTTCTTCTTGGACTCCGATTGGACGTCATATACGGGGCTGTCTGGGCCTTTCCTTGATAATACAACGTGTACCTCATCCTCCCAGAAAAACCGCAACTTCCCCGGGCCTCCTCTTGGTGTCAAATTCCGTACTAAGACCCGGTCTCCAGGTTGAAGAACTGTCGATCGGACTTTCTTGTCGTACTGCTTTTTACCTCGCGAGGCGTTCTTCGATGCTAGGTTGGAAGCTTTGGCGTATGCTTCCTTCATTGCTGTTTGCCACTTCGAGACATACTGGGAATAGGTGGTGGTACCATCTTTATCTCTCAGGTTGAACGCTAGATCAATGGGTAGTCGTGGAGAGCGACCAAACAGGAGAAAGAAAGGAGCGTAGCCGGTGGCTTCGTGGCGAGTGCAATTATATGCATGGACAAGTTTAGACAGATGGTCTTTCCACTTTGTCTTGTGAGTTTCTGGCAGAGTCCGCAGCATTCCAAGCAAAGTTCTATTCATTCGCTCGACTTGACCATTCCCCTGAGGATGATAAGGGGTGGTTCTGGAATGACGTACCCCAGACAATTTCTCTAGTTGCTTGAATAGGTTGTTTTCGAACTCTTTACCCATATCATGGTGGATCTTCTCCGGGAAGCCGAATCTTGGAACAAAGTCATTAAAAATCTTCTCCGCAGCGGTTGCACCTGATTTGTTTTTCGTGGCATATGCTTGAGCGTATCTAGTAAAATGATCCACGATCACTAAAATGTACTCATAGCCTCCAGAACTGCGCTCAAGGTGAACATAGTCGATGGCAATCAGTTGGAAGGGAGAAGTCGTAACTATGGGATGGAGGGGTTCACGGGTTGGAAGTGTGGGACGCTTGTTCTTTAAACAGTGGCAAACACGAGTAACAAAATGTTCTATATCTCGTCTCATATACGGCCAGTAAAAACGCTCTCTGGTAAGAGCAAGAACCCTTTCCAATCCAAGATGCCCCATGTCTTCGTGCAGTTCCTTGTACACTCTACGGCGCATCTTTTTTGGTAGAACTACTTGTGATCGGTGGAATAGAATACCAGAACTAGGGTCAATTCGGAGTTTTGCTAATTCGAACAGAAATCGTTTCACCTCGGGTGTCTCACATTTTCGCTCTTTAGGTGTTGGAATTTGTTGAGATCGGATAAACTCTTTTACACGTTTGACGTCTTGATCGTTGTCTTGTTCTCGTGCTATGTCAATTACTCTGATTTGACTACAACTGGCATTAGAAGGAAGGAAAGCCCCGTCGTCACCCAACATGTTTTCATCTGTGGTGAAGGAAGTGAGCCAAATTGCATCCCCTTTGCCAAGGGCACAGATAGAAGTGATGGACGTATCAAGTTCTTTCTGCGATATTGTTTGGGTACACGATTCCATATACTCTTCGAAGTATCCAGGCAACCTGGATAAACTGTCAGCGTCTGTATTGCTGCGACCAGGACGATACTTGATATCAAAGTTGAAGTCGGAGAGTTCACCAACCCATCGGAGCCCGGTGGCGTTAAGCTTGGCAGTCGTGAGGATATAGGTAAGAGGATTGTTATCGGTAAAGACTGTAAACTTTGGTGAATAATACAGGTAGTCGCGAAACTGTTCGGTTATCGACCACTTTAATGCCAGGAATTCTAGTTTCCCAGAATGAAGAAGATAATTTTTTTCTGCAGGGGTCAATGTCCTGGATGCATATGCGATGACTCTCAATATGCCTGCTTGTCTCTGGTAGAGTACAGCACCGAGACCGTCTTGCGAAGCGTCAGTATGTACAAGGAATGGATCATTGTATTGTGGGTAGGCTGGGATAGGTGGAGAAGTTATCCTTTCAACGAGAATTTCTAAGGCACTGGAATGTTCAGGTTTCCACTGTATCAGTGATTTGGATGGTAACTGATTATTGCCATACTTGTTGTGGTTGTTTCTGCTTGCTGTTGACATCTTCGGTGGAGATGTGTCCCTATTTAACAGGTCGTATAATGGCTTTGCAATCTTCGAAAAATTCTCGATCGACCGACGATACACACCAAGCAGACCCATTATCTTTCGCACTTCTCCTACGGTCTTTGGAATGACTCCTTTAAGCTTTTCAACGGCTTCAGTCGCCTTGGGGTCCATCTGATACCCATTACCTGATACGATTCGACCCAGGAATGACACCTCGTTCTTAAACAGGTTACACTTTTTTGGCTTAAGTTTAACCCCATGACTCTTTAATCGTTGAAGAACTTCCTGTAGATGTTGCACATGTTCCTTGAAGGTCTTGGAGAAAACAATAACGTCGTCCAAGTATGGTATACAAATTTTGTCTCGAAGGTCTCCCAAACAGTTCTCCATAAATCTCTGGAAGTTGGCGGGTGCGTTCATTAGCCCAAACGGTATTCTGGTCCACTCATACAAGCCCCAGGGGGTTATAAAGGCTGTAAGAGGCTGACTATCTCTGTCCATAAAACCTTGATGGTAAGCCTTCCCCTGGTCGAGGACACTGAACCAGTGGTTTCCTCCCAGGTTGTCTAGTGTCTCCTGAATACGCGGGATAGGGTGTCTGTCAGGTACAGTTTTCTGGTTTAAAGCTCGATAATCCACACACAATCGTAACCCACCGTCTTTTTTTCTAACACATACCACACTGCTGGAAAACGGTGATTTCGATTTGCGTATAAAATTTCTGTTCAATAGGTCCTCTATATAAGCCTTTACTTCCGGATACAGTGGTCTGGGAATTGACAAATAGTTCTTCTGGACTGGTTGATCATCGGTTAAGTGAATGTTCATTTGAAGTCCCTCAATACACCCAACGTCTTTGTCATCCATCGCAAATGCATCAGCTTCCTCGTATAACATCTTTTTTGCTTCTCGTCTTTGTTCAGGTGTAAGCCCACTTAAGTCTACATCTGGTAGTCTGGGTTCTTCACTTTCCAGGGATGATGGTTTTGTTGGATCTACCTGAATCTCTGTCTCTATGTTGCCTGGCTGCTCTCCCAGTTCTTCCTTCTTTAATTTGACTTCAAGTGGAGTAACCGAGCGAACCAATTGTAGGTTGCCAAGGACTAGTCTACCGGGTAAGGCAATATCGTGCTGTGTTGTGTTAGTTACTGGAATATCTATTAAGCTAGACTTCCCTTGTTTCACTGTGGTCAGAGCCTCTTGAACTGTTAGACCTATTGGCATATGGGTTTGTTCATCTGGCTCAAATAATGCAGGACTGTTTCGTCTTATTGGTCCAGTGTTTGCACGGCATGAAATATTCATGGTCTGGCCACTAGGGATAACTACTTTCTTTTTCGATGTTCGAACTGCGCAAAGACTTTCGCTAAGATCGCTGTTCATAAAATTAACTAGGGCACTTGCCTCTGTGTTACTGACATTGTCAAAACTTTCTGCAACAGCGGACAATGCCGTTTCTGGGCCATTATCCTTCACAAAAAGTTCAATTACGTTGTAACCAATTATGGGACAGTTAAGGTCTTCATTTGTGACCAAAAATGGTACTGTGATTTCTTTTGCTGAATTGTTAAGGAGCTTAAAATTTACTCCTACCCACCTGTTGTACGGAATTTGTGTTCTATTGGCTGCTTCTAGCTTTAGATCTGATCCAGCCCCCAAAAGCTCATGTATATCCTTAACCGGAATGTCTGGGAACATGTCCTTCAAAATTCTCTCAGGTAGAATTGAGACCTGGGCTCCTGTGTCCCAAAGTATCTCCGTTTCTTTACCATTGAGTTGGCATTTGACTTGACACTTTTCCCCAACAAGCTTCACTACGGTATCTCTCTGTTTTGGGGTGAGATGACTGACAAACATGTTCGTATCTGCGGAATCTCCCAAACCAGGTATTGTACCTGCAGTTGTTGAGAGGTTCTTGATGGATGTACAGAGAGTCTTATGTTCAACCCAATGTTTTCTCTGGCAATCCTTTGAACAATAATGCACAATTTTACATATCGAACATATTTGAAATTCATTTGATCTACTTTCTTTCTTCAAACAGTAATTACAAAGGTGGGACTTCATTTCTGTCTTTGATTGGGCTACATCCTGTCCCTCGGGGGCAGCCCTTTGTGGTTTCCCTGGTTTCTGAACTTCATGTTGCAATATCTGGCTATGTGATTGGCCCCACCACAAAGAAAACAGTGATTACACGTGTCCGACAAACCTTTCTCATCACATTCTCTACATCCACGCTTCGGTCGACTAGTTTTCGTCGCCACATTGTTTCGCATTTCATCCCCCGGTTCAGGCACTTTGGTTACTGCATCACAGAGAAACTTCATCTCGCTTTGCATCGTCGCCATGTCGGATTGGACAGCCTTCAGTGCGGCTAATACTCTTCCCTCCTCTCTCTTTTCCTTGTTTTTTTCAGATGTCATCTCCACTGTTGATATGCTTGCTGACTTTCTGCCCGAAAAACTGAATTTGTTTACTCTCTCGGTTTCTGCGGACATAACCATGTTCATGGCTTCAATCAAATCTTCATCGGTGACCAGAGGATTCTGGAGGGTTGGTCTCATCTTTGCTCGGATTGTCTCATCAATAAGCCCTGTCTCAAGGGCATGCAGAAATAATCCTTGCACTGAGCTCTGATCATAGGTTATATTATTTCCAGACTCTTTTGAGGCAAAAATGATCTTTTGGCGAATGGTCAGAGTTCGAATGAGGAAAGATTGTGGATCCTCTTTTGGTTGTTGAGTAATGTTGGCTAACATTTGATAGAGTTCGGTTGCACTCTTCTCATGATAATGGAACCGAATAATTTTCCTTAGCCTGGGCAAGGTTAGGTCTGTAACACTTTCCAAATAACTTCTTAACTGAAGTCCTGGTTGGACTGCTCGAACTACTGCATTAACAATTTCTAGTTCAGAGTATTGTTTTCTAACACCGGCTTCAATTTGGGAAACTAATGATTGATACCCCAACTTATCTTTCTGTCCGGGTTCCCTAACTACACCTTGTATCTTAAAATCTCGGTGTAGCAGACTCTTTTCAAGATTTGCCAATGGTACTTTTATAACATTTTCTGGTTGAACAGGACTCTTCTTACTAACACCTGTTCCCTTTTTCTCTTGAGCCTTTAGTTTGATTTCTTTTTGTTTACTCAACAATTCTTGTATCTTCTCTTCCAATTCTACAACTTCTGATTTTTCCTGGGGTCCCACTTCTGAAACTTCTACTTCTTTCTGGGGTCCCTCCTCTTGATCATCCGGCTCTTCGAGCGGTGGTGGACCAAGAAATACTTTAATACTTTCTATATATGTCACACATTCTGTTTTCTCAGTTAGCGTTCCAACTGTCTCTTCTATAGCTTCCCGTATAACCTTTAGAATCGTAAATCTACTCTTACCTTGAACACTAGATTCGTCTAGCTTTATATTTTGTGCTAACTTCAAAATGTCATCCAGCTTTAATGCAAGTATTTCTGACTCCAGTTCCAATAACATTTTTTCAACCTCTGAGTTGGCCATTTTGACTTTTAATCAATGTCACAGTTTTAATATAAGCACACAAGTCCCATTCACATTTCCAATTGCAAGTTTTAAACAAGTTCAGTCCCTATTATAACACCAATACTTCAAGTAATCAAGTTAAAATGGATAATATAAGCACACAAGTCCCATTCACATTTCCATTTTCAAGTTTTAAACAAGTTCAGTCCATATTATAACACCAATACTTCAAGTAATCAAGTTAAAATGGATAATATAAGCACACAAGTCCCATTCACATTTCCATTTTCAAGTTTTAAACAAGTTCAGTCCATATTATAACACCAATACTTCAAGTAATCAAGTTAAAATGGATAATATAAGCACACAAGTCCCATTCACATTTCCATTTGCAAGTTTTAAACAAGTTCAGTCCATATTATAACACCAATACTTCAAGTAATCAAGTTAAAATGGATAATATAAGCACACAAGTCCCTTTCACAATTGCAAAGTTAAACAAGTTCAGTCCATGCTTCGTAGAAATACAAACATTTCATCGAGGAAGCGCCTGTGTTCGCCTCGTATAAACAATTCCACATTCATATACTCACTACAAATATTAGTGAAAATACTCCTCTCGATCGCTTTTTCTCCTTGAATTTTGCTGTAACATTCCCGCCTGAGCCCCCAAAATGTTACACGGGTTCTTCTTTCGATATATTTTATATTTAAACGTTGACTCAGTTCACTTTAATAGTGCTTTTCGTTTTAAAACTAGCTCAAAACCATTCTATATTTTAACATACAAAAGCCATGCCGTTTCTCTACATGCGCCCGCGATCAACTTGACCGTCAATGCTCTACTTCGTGTAAACCTAAGTTATTCATCTAACACTTGCATAATCTCAACCATGTTTGAAAGTTTTTTTTTTAAATTATGGTGGCGCCTCTTGAAAACTGGCACCCTATTAAAGTGTATCAATCACCCTATATCCTTGTGATAATTTCAGTGATTTCTATTTGATTGGCATATAATTCACTAATGCCGTACACAAATGCATGTACGCTTAGCATACCTATTTCCATTGCAAAGGCTAACCACATGTACGCAGTGCGTACCTATTTTTACATTATATAGCAGTAAATTTGACATGGAATTGGACTGAATACAGAGTTAATAGATAGCTAATTTGTAAGCATGTATCAGATTTTTGAACAGTTTAAATAGAACAGCAGTTATATAGTAATCAAATAGGAATAAAATTGCAACAACAGGTTTTGAAAAGTATGGATAATGGGCTTGTTTGGGGGGCTGCAGGGTCCAGGAAATGGCATTTCAGGGGGGTGGCTGCAGGGTCCAGGAAATGGCATTTCAGAGTTTCTCAATTTAAAAATTTCCTTGGGCCTTCGCTTTCAGCCCCCTCCCCCAAAAAAATCAAAAAGAGCTTCCTAAGGCGCTGTAGCCTAAATAATGAGAGGACCAGTATAATTCCAAAAATGGTTGTTCTTTATTTCTTTACTCAGACTCCTGTCATGAACATGTACGTAAAAAAATAGGTAAACTACGATTAAATCACGGCCGTAGAAACTAAAATAGGTGGAAATTTTTATGGGACACGATCAAAGGTGATGATATAAAGAACGAGAGATTGAAATTGAGTAGGAATAGCGTACAGGGGTATGTGTTTCGAACTAACAGTTTTCTTCAGCAGGGTTTTTTAAGAAGGGGGTGTATATATAAATTGAAGAGGAGAAGGAAGGAGAGTTTAGGAGTTGGGAAAATAATGTGAGACCAAGAGGAAAACAAATTATTATGAAATAACTGAAAATAACCAATTACACAGTACAAAAATGAAGGTGAAAGGATGTAACTACTATACATGTTATTAGTCAAGTTATCCTACCAAAGGTCTTGTTGTTTGAGGGACATTCCAACACTACACACTTTATTGTTCATCGTTCGTATTGGTGAAGTGAAGCAAATTTGCTGGTCCTTCAATTAAGGGTTAACTTACTCAATGGTATAGTGTGAGTTTGAATGATTGTGATGGTAAGGGTGATCATGTGACTGTTGGTGATTGCATCCAAATATGGTGTTAGTCACTTTAGTGATGTAGGAGCTTATAAGACAGGGATATGGGCATTTGGCAATTAGTGATACATAAGGGATAAAAATAATGCTAACACCGTGCAGGGTTTAGATTTTTGTTTAAAATATATGAATATACAATAACTAAAACATGTACATATATAACAAAACCAAAACAGAGATTAGTAAATGAATGATATGACCAATAGCTATAGCTAGTTCTGGTTTGGATTTTTCTACATAGAGGATCCAAGTTCACATTATTTTCCGAACTCCTAAACTCTCCTTCTCCTCTGCAAATTCTATATACCCTGCCTTTAAAAAACCCTGCTGAAGAAGACTGTTAGGTCGAAACACATGTAGGGTTGCCTTTCCTACTCAATTTCAATCTCTCACTCTTATATCCTCACCTTTTATGGAGTCCCATAAAAATAAAAGAAACTTAAGTTGTTTACGGAACTTATCAATCTCGGATGAGCATGTGATGACGAGTCAGTTTTGGAGGGAAAGATCAACGATGCATTCTTAAGTGTGATGAAAGATTATGTGCCCCTATCTGATCGTGATTACATTCCTACAGATGGCGATCTACCAATATCTATCGACGATTTTTCGGTCACCAGAAAACGTCGAGCTGTGAGTATTTCTAATGCATGTGGCCCAGACAATCTTCCTAATTGGGTGCCGAGAACATTTGCTGACATCTTGGCTACACCAGTCACCGACATTCTTAACTCTTCCTTTGCAGAATGTAAAGCCCCTCGAGTCTGGAAGCTTGCCAATATTCCACCAATTCGCAAAGCTACTGCAATATGTGACTTTAAAAAGGATTTAAGACCTATTTCACTTATGTTCACACTGTCTAAGATTGCTGAATCCTATGTCATTGAAAAATCCTTAAAACCTACAGTGTTACCATCTATTGATCCCAACCAGTACGGCTTTATTCCTGGCTTATCCACTACCCTTGCGCTCATCTCCCTGCTCCATCATTGGACTCTCTAACTCTCTAAGGACTTATTTGAGATGATAGCCAGTGATACAGGTCATAAGCTGGCTTCACTTCTTCCTCTGAAGGCTTCCAACACCATAAATCTGCGTAGGATGAGAGACTATCAAATTCCAAAATTTAGAACTAATAGATTTAAGAATTCTTTTTATAATTAGTCATGCTATCGAATGTTATAGAAGTTAGTTATATTGAACATTATTTGGTAAATAGTAGATGTACCGGGTGGCGCAAAAAAAAGTTCACGTGTTTGATTTAGTACAGCGAAAAAACTATAAGTGTTACGTTCCTCAAATAAATGTTATCCTATCCACGAAGGCCTAACTTAAATTTTGATGTATAACACATGCATTTTTGTTTAGTATTACCCAAGATATTGGTAAATCAATTTGAATATGCAATTTCAAAACGTTCCAAAATTAGCTGAAAATAGCCTATTAAATACGAGTAAAGGAATTAACGATATATGAAGAACACAACGGCAGTAAATAACGCGTTTATCATGGAAAATTAAATAACTATATTCTTGCACGTGTGACCATACTATCGAACGAACTAACGTTGGATTTATTTGCTGGTCAAAGTTATGGCAATCAGCAATAATCGCTTCACGAAGCTGTCTCAAATTGTTCGGTTGTTGATCTAATTTAATTCCCTGTAGCTATGGGACATGGAATACTGCGAAGCAATTCTTAATTAAAAGAGCCATCTTTTTCGAAATTTTGTTGCTTTTCAAATGATAATAAAACAAATAAATAAATAAGGAAAATCATTCGTTACACGTTTCAATTCAAATTAAATTCATACAAGCGAATATGTCTGACGAAATTCTAAAATTTATCAAAACAGTTTAATAGGCCATTTTTAGCCAATTTGTCAGATTTTCAAAACTTCGTTCCAAATTTTATTTGGCGATATCCCAGTCAATATTGCACGTAAATAAACATGCTATAGCTCAAAATTTAAGTTAGACTATTATGAATACAGCTACGTTTATTTCAGGGATGTAACCCTTATAGATTGTTCGCTGTACTAAATCAAACAGTTATACTTTTTTTTGCGCCACCCGGTAGTATATTGTAAAATTCTTAGCAAGTAATTCAGCCTTTGACTGCTAGGTGTTTTTTATTGGAATAAACGATTTATCTATCTTACCTATTATAAACTAAAAAATGTATATAAATGCATACAAAAAAAATATCGTGCAAGTCCTCTGACTGACAAGAAATCGAACAGTGTCAGGAGGCGGGGAAAAAATTGAGCAAACTTAAAATCTACCCCCCCCCCCATCAATAATCAAATGGTCTGTCCCTAAATCCAGATCTTCACTATCAGTGCAAATCCGTAGACATGGTGTGATAGTCCATGGTCCATTTTGTATAGGATAGCAGCACTAATGAAGATCAAGGTGTATGGATAGAAAACTTTATCAAATAAATAAATAAATAAACCTGGTGTTTTCAACAAAACCAAAAATATTTAAACTCTATACTCCCATATTTAATTATCCAGTATTCGAATTTGACATGATTGAGCTATTTTCAGTGCTGTTTGGCAGTGATTTATAAGAAGTATATCTAATAATGAGAATACACTGCGAAACAGATATGGGGGATAAATGTGTCATTTTAAGAGTGAATGTCAGTAAAATCGAATATATGAGACATTGCGCGGCCACGACTGAAAAATCGATTTTGCTCAAATTTTGCCCAGATATACCTTATTATATCGGAAAATGCACCATATATTTTTTTAGGTCAAATGCTTTTTTAACTTTGAGAAAATGCCGTTTTAACACGACCACCCTAAATCGCCATTTTTTCTGGGAAAATATGTGCTGATTTTACAGATAAATTTCACGATGACAACCGTTTCTAATCGATCTAAAACCCTAAAAATCTTGTTTTCGGTTATTCAAAGGACGGTATACATGATTTA